GCACGGTGGCGGGCTATGCTGATGGCCATTCGATACTTCTGCGAGTGTTTTGACAGATACCCGCCGTCTGTATACGTGGGTTCTCGCCCGGTTCCCCATGCGTGCACGACGAATACTGAGAATGTCAGCCCAAGAGGCACCGAAAAGACCCCCAAGAGGCTCCCATCAAGCCCCAAAAGAACTCCAAGAAGCCCCCAAAAAAGCGCGCAAGACGCCCTCAGCAGCAACACACAACAACTGCCAGTCCCCCAAAGGGTCGGCGGTGTTACATGGGCCTGAGAATATTCATGCCAGTACACACACACATAGATACATGTGTATATATATATATATAAAATATAGACCTACACCTACTAGAACCATCGCGCGAGCTTCGAGCGCGCTCAAGTCCTAGCTAGGTTGGATGGTCGATCTCTTGGGGATCTCTATTTTCCGATACGTCTTCTACGGGGCTTCCAAGTACCACGAAGACGACCCAAGTGGCTTCAAGACTTCCTACGGTCCACACACGGCGACCTAAGACAGGCCCAAGAAGCACTTCGGGGGGCCTTCTATTCGCCGCGGCTGAACGTAGCCGGAGGAAGAGGGAGGACAAGGGGAGATGAAGGGGTTCCCTGGGGGAGAAGGAGGAAGAGGAAGAGGAGGAGGCGTTGGAGAAGATGGAAGAGGCCGCAGAGGAGGAGGAACAAGACGAGGAGGAAGAGGAGGAGAAGAAGAAGGGGGAAGTGTGATAGCTCATTTGTTTGGCAAGCGCAGCCAAGCTGTCAGGCGAACTTGACAAAAAAAGGAAAGGCTGGAAATCCCTCTCTCTCTCTCTCTCTCTATTTTCAAATGCCCTCGGGGCCTCTCTTTTGGAGCTCTTTGGGCCTCTTTGAGGCTTCTTGGGAGCCTCTTGAAGGCTCCTTGGAGCCTCCTGGGGCGAAGATCTCGGGTTCTAGGTTCACGTGCCCGATCCTGGGCCGCGGTTGGGGCCCTCTCGGGCCGTAATGGACGTCTCTTCGGCCGTTTGGAGTCGTCTTGGAGCCGTCCTGGGGCGCTTTTGAAGCCTATTGGGCCATCTCGGGGTGATCCTCGGGGCCCCTTGGGGCGTCTTGCAGCGTCGGGAAGTGGAACTGACGGAAATAAAACGCCACAATTGTTCAAAAACCTACGGATAATGAACGACGTTTGGCACTTCGGGCTCTCTTGGGAGACCTCTTGGAAGCCTCTTGGGCCTCTTGGGGGCCTCCTGGGCCGCCTGGAAGCCGTCTTGGGCGCCTTGGACCGTCTAGTGGCCTTCGGCCCATCCCGCCACCGTGCCCAGGCTGTGGGTTAGAGGCCTCTTGGAAGTTCGTGTGGATATCGTGGGAGGAATCTCGGGGGCCTCGTGGAGGCAGTTTTGGAGGCCTCGTGGGGGCCGTTGGGGGGCCTCTTGGGGCCTAGGGGGGCTCTTGGGGCGGAAGGCTCGAAAGTTCGTGTTCCCCCTCTTGGGCCCCTGTTGGGGCCGTCTTGGGTCCTCTTGGGCGATCTTGGGCACCTCTTGGGCCGTTTTGGGGCCCTCGTGGACCGTCTTGGGGCCCTCTGAGTGGCCTCTTGGGCCGTCTTGGCGCGGTTTTGGGGACCTCTGGGGCCATCTTGGAGCATCGCAAGCCCATAACGCGAGAACGCGAAAAACAAAAAAACAGAAAACAAAAAAAAACAAAAACAACAAAAAAAACAAAAAACGAAGAAGGGGGAAGAAAAAAAAAAGGTTTGCCCCTCTGGGCCCTCTTGGGGGTCCTACGAAGAAGGGGGAAGAAAAAAAAAATGTTTGCCCCTTTGGGCCCTCTTGGGGGTCCTCTTGGAGCGCTCTTGGGGCTTCTTTGGGGCCTCTTGGGCCGCCTAGGGCCACCTTGGGCATCTTGGAACGATCTTTGGCCGTCTCGGGGCCCTCTTGGACCACCTTGGGGGCCTCCAGAGGTCGTCTTGGAGGCCTCCTGGGCCGTCTTGAGGCCCCTTAGAGGCCCCAGGAAGGGGGGTGGCAAGAAGCTTGCCCGGATGGCTGCGGAAAGGGCGCCCCCGGGCCGGGGGGGCGGCTCTATTATTCTCACGACTCTATTATTCCCACGATTATATGATTATATTCTTCCTACGATTCTATGAATTCCCTGGACATGCTTGCAATTGAAGGTTCTTACTTCTGGTCTAAGGAACCGGGCCGTGTGGGCGGTCTGGCAGCTACGTTCCAGCCACAGCCGCCGCGTCGCCGCCTCGTCGCCGCCCGTCGTGCAGGCCGCGTGGGCCGTCTGGCGGCTCCGAGGCGGCCGTCGCCGCGCCGTCGCCGCCTCGGCGCCGCCCCTCGCCTGGGCTCGTGTACTGGTCTGGCGGCTCCGTGCCGGCCGTCGCCGCCGTGTCGCCGCCTCCACGCCGACGATCGTCTGGGCCTGCTTGTCGGTCTGGCGGCTCCGTGCTCGCCGTCGCCGCCCCGTCGTCGCTGTCACCGCGACGTCGCCGACTCGCACAGATTGCACCGCGTAGATGTCTCCTGTCAAAAAGAGGCTCTACCACCCTCGTCCACGGGGTTAAAGGTTCACCTCTTCGTATTGCAACTCACATGTGATTCTGACCCAATGTCCATCCGACCTGTGGATTCATACTATCCCAGATAGGCTGGTATCGCCCCCCCGGACATCCTCTGCAAAAAAAACCTATGCGCGCGCACTCGTCGATCAAAAATCATAAGTTGTCAATAATCCCTTGCAAGAAAACGGGACGAAGTGCACACACGCGCGTCGTCACGCGCGCATGCCGAAATCCTTCAACAACCTTCGGTTTCAGAAGGATTTCAAAATCGAGTGTGCCAAAAAAAAATATAAAAACACAAGGACTCGCAACACGGATTTTCAAAACAAAAAAAAACCTGCGCGCACACCTCATACACTGCACCGCATGAGCTGCACCGCATAGATTGCACAACATTGATTGCCCAACACATGTTGCACCACATCGAGTCCACGACATTGAACTCACGACAGAGACTGCACCACATAGACGACACAGCACAGATCGCATCATACAGATCGCATCACATAGGTTGCACCGCAGGTATTGCACCACATATACTGCATCAACATTGTTCCGCATATTATTGCACAGCAGATCTCGCCAGAAGCAGCACGCTGCTTGGGGTCCACGCTGGCCGAAATGCGCGGCAGATGCGGCACCCGCACTGGACAGCAGCATGGGACAGAGGAGCGCAGGAATCAAAATTGATCACGTGATGGTGGAAGGCGGGGCAGGAGTGCAGCAGACGCCGAGGCGAGAGCGCCCCTCGAAACGCCCGGGGACGGGTCGATAAATTGAAACAAAAAAGAAAATGCCGAAGGCGGTCCGATGTTCGAGACACACAAGGCCAAGAGGTTTAGAATCTGGCGCAAAGCCGACACGCGGGAGAGGTGCCGCCCGCTCTGGAGAGCATCGGGCGAGAGAGGGCAGTACTGCTCGCGCTGAACAACGGCGGAAGGGGAACGGGACTGTTCGGGGCCCCAAAACCGTATGCTGACGGACCTCGCGGTGACCTCGGAATCCCGAACGACCTCACCGCGCGGTCCGTCGCCGCACGGTCGTGGGGCCCTGGAGGCCCCAGTCGCCCGAGAAGTCCTGGGAGAACTTCGCGAGTCCCAAAACCGTGCGGTGACCCCGCATCCCCACTGACTCACCGCGCGGTGTGGTCACCGCACGCCCCCGAGATGGAGGAGGAGGAGGAGGGCGAGAAGACGAAGGGCGGCAGGGATGCTTGGGGGGGACGCTCGTGGAGCCCGTCGCTGAGCATCACCACGGCCTTCCTCAGCTGGGCATTCGAGAGGGCGTTCCACTTGCCGTATCTCTCCTTCGCGGCCTTCTCCTTCTCGGCTTTCTCCTCCCGGTGCCCCCCCAGCTCCCCCCTCCGGCGTCCGGGGGCTCGAAGAGACGGCCGGCCTCAGAGGGGAGACGAATTTGAGGGGGGAAGAGGAGGGAAAGAGCAGGGGGGCAGGGATAGGCAAAGAAGAGCCTGGCAGGGGAAGGGGGGCAAAGGAGGGACAGAAAGACGGAGGGTAGCTGAGGGGGACACGGGGAAGAGGCGGGGAGAAGAAAGAGAGATGTGCGGGGAGGGATAGACAGAGGGGGAAGGCGGGGGGCGACTGGGGCATGGGGGAGAAGAATAAAGATGGGGCTGGAGGGGGAAGGGGCAAGAAGGGGAGAGGTCCCAACAGCTCGGCGGGCCGAAGTCCGTCTGGCGCGGGGGCTGCAAGCGCCCTCCGCGCCAGCCTCTCGTGGCGAGAGGTGCCGCGAGTATGTAGCAGAGGTGGCGGGGTAACCTCCCCCCTGGCGCGGTCGCGGGGACTCCTCCTCCTCCTCCTCCTCCCTCCTCCTCCTCCTCCTCCTCCTCCTCCCCCTCCCCCCCCCCTCCTCCTCCTCCTCCGCCTCCTCCGCCTCTTCCTCCTCCTCCTCCTGCGGAGGAGGAGGATGGGCCGGCGGCGAACGGGACGCCATGCGGCCCGTCTGCGCCCCCGTAGCGAAGCAGTGGGCATCGGCCTTCGGCCCGCGTTGGTGGGCGCAGTCTGTCCGAGGTGCTTGTCTGATGGGGAGATCGCGGAGCAGGGCAAAATTGGTGGCCGACGGTCTGCCCGCGGCGTAAACGAGCACGCAGTGGATTCGGCTTCTCCCTGTCCCTGGCGTGATGCGGTCCCGGTCGAGGTCTTGCCCGTGGGTGCGGGATCTTCGTCCGGGAATCCAGCGGCAAGGCTCAACCACCCCAGCTTAGCGATTTGGTTGGGAAGACCGAACCATTGACGTCACTTCAGGCGTCCACGCAGATGAAGTAGGGCACGTTTCCCACCCTGTTGGCGGCAACCAAGACCAGGCGGAAGAGCGCTGCGTTGCTTCCTTTAAGCTTTCACGACCACGTCCATCCTTCCTACGCCTGGTGGCGCTCGGGCAAGGTATGGGGTAGTAGGCTTCTGTCAATCGCGTGGTCGCAAGGAGGGCCGCCACAGTGGGGTCGTCTTTGGTGGTGTCGACCAGGGCACCCTGCGCGGCAGTGCGTGCCCCGCCATGCTTGGCCGCAGTGGATCGGGCCCTGCGGCCCGTCCCGCATCCCCGTGACCTGCCCGTTGGACGCGGTCGTCCGCGGGCCTCGTCCCCCAGACGGGTCGCCAGGCTCCGTTTTCTAGTGTATGCACCTGTCGAAGGCGCGCACACTGTCAGCAGGGCGTCGGGTCTCCTGGAGGGCAACAGCGGTGGCTCCTCGGTACTCCCCGCCGTAAGCCAAAACGTTCCAGTTAGCGTCGAGACCAGTGACAGTGATGCTAGCGAGGTGGGCCAACTGCGGGCCGTCTCCGGCCGTGGAGCTAGAGCCCCCTCTAGCAGATCGGTGTCTCCTCGCGTCAGGGCGCAGCATAGCTTGGCCACTGGGGCGTTCAGAACTGCCAGCAAAATCTCATCAGCCCTCTAGGCGTAGATGGTTTAAGTAGTTCGCTGTTCCAACCACCTTCTTCGGCCTGTATGGGCCAAATCTCAGGTCGTTGGAGGGTCTAAGATGTCCCAAAATGGCTCCAAGATGGCCCCAGACAGCCCAAGATGGCCTCCAAAATCGCACAGGATAGCCCGAGATGGCTAAATTCCAGCATGCCTCTAAGAGGCGCCGTGACCGTTCGAAGACGGCAACTTGTCAATGGGAGTCCCATAGACTCCCCCGAAAAGGCCGAAACCGTCCCAACATCCAAAGGAATCAATGTTCGGTGTCGTCTCGCCTTTTCGCTTCCGATGTACTCTTGAGGCCCCAAGGTGGATCGAAGGTGGACCAAGAGATCTCCAAGAGGGCCCCAAGAGCGACCAAGAGTGCCCTACGAGCGCCCCACGGGGGCACCACGAGGCAGCAATTCTTCAACATCCGAGGGGGGGGGCGCAATTGAGACCCCCCCCTTCTTTGATAGATGGCCTCTAAGATGTCCACAAGAGCTCCCCAAAGAGAGCCCCGAAGGGCGCAAAGAAGGCCACGACAGACTTCCCAAGGCCTCCAAGCTGGCCCCAGAGGGGCCCCACTTTGGCCCCACGATGGCCCCAGGATGCCTCCGAGAGGCTCCTGGAGCGTGACCGTACGCCACTACACATCCCTGCTCAGGGCAACTCGGCCGGTCACTGTTTCTGCGTGCGCTGGCGAGGATGCGCGAAGCGTAGCGTCAAGAACTGGGCCTCGGCCCTCCGCGGACCCGTCCCGTATCACCTTCGCCTCGCCTCCTTTCCACGCCTGCGTCCCCACCTGGAGGCCTGCCAGACGGGGTCCGACTAGATGGGGTCGGAGGACCGCGCCACTCCCGCCAGGGCATCGACGATGCATCGGCGATGCTTCAGCGCCGTCGGTGTGGAGAAGATCGTACTTCGCATCGAGCCGCATCGCCGACGCATCCGCGATGCAGCACCGTTTTGCAATCGCAACGGAGCCGAGCGGCAAGGTAAAGGCACGACGAAGACGACGAGGACGACGAAGACGACGAGGACGACGAAGACGACGAGGACGAAGAGAGAGAGAGAGAGAAGATCGCACGGCGGCCGCGCCTCCATCTAGGAGGCCTCGATGTTGGAGGCGGCCCAGGGGTATGAACTGGTTGGGCCCCCCGAAAGTCGGTCAGGAGGGGGGGATGAATCCGAATCCGCTCGAAATCGGTACCCCGACCCCTCCCAGGGTTCATCTGGTGCAGGTTTTCACCCCAGATCCGTGTTTCACTGCTCCAAGACCCGACAAAGGCCCCCTGAGGCCGAGCAGGGCAAAAAAACCCTCCCGAACCTCGAACCTGCCCGCCCTTCCTGCTGGCCAGAACCAGTGCTGGGACACCTCAGACCCCCAGACGGCTCCAACCTCGATCACCGTCCATTCCCATTCCCCCTTCAGTTCCCCGCAAGACTATACCGAGCAAAAACGCATAGACAAATCGAACCTGGTGAAGGCTGGCGACGCACGCGATGGCGTGCTCGAACGACGTGGTGTGCTCTGGCCCCAAGACGCATGCGATGGGGTGAAAAGGTTGGGCTCGTGCGAGTGGGAGCCTGGCCTCGTGACACCCTGGGCCAGGGACACATCTGGCACCCGATGAGAGCGAACCTTCACCGGAGGTACGTGTGGTGCGCGCCTTTGAAGAGGCGAGGGGTATGGGGCCCGCCCCAGGCACACAGGCTGCTGCTGTCACGTCGTATGCAGAGAGTGACGGGATATCCACCAGAAGTCACTCGTGCGTACGAGGGTCCCTTCACGGCGAACGGCGGCAGGGGAAGGAGGAGGTGGAGGGGATGATGATGATGATGATGATGATGATGATGATGATGATGATGATGATGATGATGATGATGATGATGATGATGATGATGATGATGATGATGATGATGATGATGATGATGATGATGACGATGACGATGAGGATGATGATGGTGATGATGATGCTGATTATGATGATGATGATGATGATGATGATGATGATGATGATGATGATGATGATGATGATGATG